AAAGTATTAAAAAAGAATCAAAATGACTTTTTCACCGTTTGTATGCCAGTTAGCCGGTTTCCCATGTCCAGTTGGCCTGTTCTTTCCATTCTCTATTTCATTTTTAATTTCCTTTTTCTTTTCCCTTTTTCCTTTTCTCTCTTTCTTCTCCCCCACAATTTCTTCTTCCTGGGTTTCTGTATCCGGCGTCACGATGAGTTTCTTACTTTCTTTATTTTCTTTTTCTCATTATCTTTCCGCAGAAGGGCACTATCACTGGCGTCCATATATTCCTAAATTGCCGTCTATGGCCATTGCCCACAAGTTTCCAACTGCCGACACGCGTCGGCCGACGCCCAAAACTTCCTGAGCAGTCGTCGGTTGTCGACCGTTTCCGACATCTTCTCCAATCACCTTCGTGCACCACTCTTTGCCCATTACTTCGCCACTCGTGGCCCAACACATTAACCGCCGCCTGCCCCCGTCGGCTAAAAATTTCCCAACCTCCATTGCCGGCCGCCCATCGAACGAAATAGAACTAACGAAGGATGGAAGAAAGATAGAAAGAAAGAAATAAGGAATGAGATTTAAGTAATTAAAGAAGACGAAAGAAAGAAAAGAAAAAACTTAGGAGCGAGCCAGAACGATTGGGAGAAAGATAGTGAAGGGGAGAAGAAGAAATAAAGAAAATAAAAGAAAAAGATCTACGTGGATGTTGAAGTCATCAACTTACCGGTATCACCCGTTATAAACCGGCTAAGAGGATAAATTGAACATTTTTTCATAGTTGAAGGACTTGATTGAATGATTTCATAGTACGAGGACATAATTGACTTTTTTGATATAGTAGGAGGACCTATTTGACAGTTTTCCCTAATTAAAATTTACATATTCAGAAACTAAATTAAAATCTCGATAAAGATGCAAAATCCATATTTAAATTTCATGAATAATTGATATCTTAATTAAGTGAATAAAATGAAGGAACCTAAGCCAAGGATTGTGTAAGGAAAAATTTGCCTTAGAGTCAAAGAATTAGGGAAGGCTGATGAGGCCCTTTCCGCCTCCAACATGGCGATGGCAAACGCACGCGAGGAAGCCAAAGCGGCTGCTCTACTTCTCAAGGAGACCCAGGATGCCTTAGGCCTGGCCAACCAGAAGGTTGCAGCGCAGCAGCTGAAGATGCAAAGGTCTCTTTCTTCCTCAGCCCGGGGACCACCCCTGAGGGCGCCCAAGTGGTTAGTGCTTATATTTCCCAGGCCATCGCCTCTTATAAAGAAACACCAGAGTTCCAGGTGGCCGCTCGGGAATTCGCTCGGGACATCGCGGGCGAGGTCTTCGGGGATGCGCTCTCGCGGGTTCCAGAGAAGAAGCAACTACGCCTCGGGGTGGAGCTCCTACAGGCAACCCCCTCGGGTGATCGCTTTAGCTTGAACCTGGCGGTGGACTCCTTCGAAAAGGGTAACCAGCACGTTGTTGCCGCATTGATGCCGATCCTGGTTAAGATCGGTCCCGACCCCTTCGTACTCGCTGATCATACCAGCGATACGGTCTTGCTGCAAGACGCAGGGAAATGGGCTAGGGCGCAAGCACGGGCCGACGCTATCTCCAAGGGTGAAGAACCTGCTCCTCCCTCCGATGATGATGATTCTGGTGATGAGATGGAGGCCGCCGCGGAGTAGAGAGTAGCATAGCCAGGATCGCCTCCCGTTTTTTGTGTTTTGCACCCCTCATTTGTATGTTCTGGCCGGGAGCTCAGCTCCAAAGAATGAATTTCCTTTTCTATATATCGAGCCTCTGATCTGTTTATTTTTCCCATTTGCTTAAGTGCGCATCCTCGCACGGTTTCCATTATATGGATTAATCATATGACCTTTTAAGCAATGAAAAATGGGTTTTAATTAAGATCAAATAAATGATAATTGGAGACATACGCAAGTCGTGCGAGAACAACATTTTGACAAATTTGAATCCAACTAAGAGATGGGTTGAACGTCCAAAAAGACGGTGTCACTCAAGCTTGGTATAGGTAGATCTTATGCGTTTCTTGAACACTCCACGACTCCACAATCACATGTTTTCATTATATTGTCTTGTTTGTAAAAAAATGGTACCTTTGAAATAAGTGTAGTTGATCAAAACACGGGAACTACTGGGTGTGTGTCATTTGTGAGATTGAAACATGACTTGGTAAGTTTTGTTTTATTTAATTTCATTATATTGATTTGTTTGTAAAAAAATGGTACCAAATGGTGTAACATAATGTTTTCACACAACTCAAAGTGAAAACAAGATACCAACAAAAATTCAAATGTATGAAGAGACATTAAGAGAAAATAGAATCGAACCTACAAGACGTCATATGATGAAACTTGTAAAATGTTTTTTTAATTGTATTTTAACTGTTCATAAAAGTGAGTGATTTATATTGATTTTTTATTATGTATTCAAAACAGAAAGCGATGAAAGATACTAAATCTACACAAGGAAGTGATGAGGCTAATTCTAAAGATGCATTTGCAAAAATAATGCCGAAAGAATACAATGGACATGTTCGACTATTTGGCAGAGGTGTCGCCAACAATGCATTACAATCTTTGAGGGAAGAAATGCAAAAAGAAATGGATGAAAAACTTGCTATTGAAAGAGCAAAATCAGTTGAAAAATTTGAGGTTGAAAAATCATGTAGGTCAGAAAAATGCACCAACATTTGTGTTATTAGCATCTGCCTATCTCAAGGCATATAGTGTTCATTTATGTATCTCTTGTTATGGGACCTTAACCAGATAAAGTCGTTTTTGTGATACCTTGGTTTGTCTAATATAATGGGGGTGCATGTTTGGTTAATGGACCATGAGCCATTTTTTGTTGTTGTTTTGACCAATATTTGATAATGTGACCAGGGTATGTTTGGTTATATAGCTTTTTATGTACCTTTTTTTTTATATCTAAATAGGCAAATTATAAAAAGCCACAACATTTGGCGTTTAGGCATCGCCAATTCAGTTTCTCGCCCAATTTTCCTCGTCTACCCACGCCTTCTCATCTGACAATTCTCCATTGCCTCCCTTCTCTTCACTAATTCGCCTCCCTTCTTTTAGTCTCCTAGCGAATTGAACCATCCTTCTCCTTGTCGATAAAAAATGCATGCTTTTACTCAATCTTCGTACTCCCTCTTGAATCAATTCCATTTTTTATTTTATTTCTTTCAACTAAGTAATGATGTAGTTGTTTCATTAATTAGATCATATGGACAAAAATAATATACAAGGCACAAATAATATACAAGGCTCTGATAAATTGACGTTGTGATGCTTTAGAAGAATAACTAATGGATTTAACTCATATATACAAGTCTCTGTCGATTCATCAAATGGGTTTTTGTTGCTATCTATTCCCAAAGGCTCCTATTGACATTGAGTTTTGCTGCTACTTTAGTCCAACGGCTCATAGTTTGCCTTCATTTTTAGATGCTCCATATTAATTACTTTATTTTATTTAATCAAACTTTTTTATTTTGTTTAGCTAATCTGGAGAAAGATTCGCCTAACCTTTATTCGACGATGTTGAGGTAGCTGAAGTGCCTCTTCGGGGTTGTGTTAGAGGCGATCTGAGCAAGGAAATGCTTGAACCGTTCATCGATGTCGATGGTTCCAGGCCGCAGCTGGCCGAACCACTCTTGTGCTGGACCCAGGAGGGTAATGAAGAACAATATGTAGCTCGCATCGTTAGATGCGCCCAATAGCATGAGCTAGCCTTGGTAGCTGAGCAAGTGAGCCTTTGGGTCTTCGACTCCATTATAGACCAGGCCGCTCGGCGGCCTGCAATCTTAAGGGATCTCCGCAGCCATGATCCTCGCAAATAAAGGGGAAGTGAGGTAGAGTTCTGACTATGCCGGAGATCTAGCCACCTGACGGTTTAGCTCGCCAATTTGCCTTCGTAAGGCTGCCACCGTGGCCTCCTGTGCGATGGGTATAGGTGTAGTGCGGATGTTTTATGCCGCTTCCCCCACCCCCACCCCGCGCGGGCATACTGGGCCCGCGGGGGTACTTACACGATCCAGTGGTCGTTCCCCTCCAGGTGCTGGAAACGACGACCCTCATTCTGCACAATGGAGTGGTCTCCCTTATTCGGTGGCTGTTGTGGGGGACCATCATTGTCCATCCTATCTCGACATTAATATTATGCTGGCGTGCTCCCGAGCGGCCTCGACCTCCAAGCCTTCGAGTGAACGACATCCTACCGATCCTCGTAAAGGCTGAAGTGCGAGAGGCCTCATCCCCTGTGTTCTCACCAAAAGATTCCATACACCAAATAGGCGATGGAGGGGCGCGCTCTGTCTCGGAAGAATACACAGTCCGTTCCGCATCATTTTGGTTTGTCAGGTTCCTCCGGATTTCACCTAGCGCCCTCATCACCCACGGGTGCCCTTGGTCATCAGCCGAGATCAAGTGGGCGAGGTCTCCCAACTCGTCCGAGTTAGATCAAACGGTGGGGGGAGTTAGTATTCATCCCTATTACAACCATTCCCTTGGTCGATCGATCTGACGGTGGTGGAGTTAGTATTCACTCAGACTACAAGAGCTCGTCCTCCTATGGAATCATCTCCGTACCAGGAAAAGATATCACCTCCGTACGGAAAGAGTTTTGCGGATAAACTTTATTTCAATATTATTTTCTCTTTAGTAGTACTTGTTTTTTATTTTAGTTCGAGGAGGTTTGGCTTGAATGTATGTATATTTGGAATTCTTTTGATAGACAGGTTTTGAGTTCCGATTGTTTTAGGTTTAAATTTGCTCGTTTCAGGTTTATCGAGTCAAGTTGCTTTGTATTCAGTTATGGTTGTTTTAGGTTTAAATTTGCTCGTTTCTCGCTTAAATTACTTTGTATGAGATGACCGGCTATACGTCTAGAGTTCTTAATTGGATCCTAAAATCCTAGGTATGTTTGTGTACCGGTAAAATATGTCTACTCTTTGTCTTAATTGATTTAAAATAAAATTCGTTTTTTCATGATCCTAAAAAAAAGTCTTGATCTGAGCTGGTAAAGAAAGTTCATGATGTGAGAGGGCATTACATACTCCCTAGTCCCTATGAACTGCTTACAAATTACAATATCTAAAGTTGAGGTGAACTCCAAATTTGTCAAGTTCAGAGATGGGTTCTTTGACTGCAACATTATCTCCAAATTCATTTCAACTCCGGTTAGCTTTAAATTGCAGAAAGCCTTCAACCCTGTTAGTACGAGTGTGTGTTGGGAAGAAGGATTACAATCACAGGCTGCATTTACTCTTTCTCGGGGAGAATCACCACGCGAGAAATCGTAATGGACTGGAAAGGCGTAATTTTTTGGTTAATTCGGTTACTCCGGAAGCTGAATTCGGTGGATGGTCTGAAGCTGATGAAGCTGAAAGGTCGATTGAAGCTCAGGAAAAGCAACCCATTGGAGGTGAGCCCTGTTCTGTGACATCTCTAATTTATTATATAATCGCATCACTTTTCCTTGGTTGGATCTGAAATTGGTTTATATATTGGACTTCACTTCTTCAGCGGAGCTTGTGAAATGATAACATTAGCTTTGTCTTCTCACTCATCTGCATGGTTGTATCTTTAATCCTTAGATAAATGCTTCTATCCTGATTTAGTAACACTATTGGCGTACTCTCAGGGCTTCTGCAAGCAGGAGTAGCTGGCGTTGTACTAGTGGCTGGAATAGTCTTTGCCACTCTATCAATAAGCAAACTGTGCAAGCCAAGTAAGTGATTCTTAGTATATGCTTTATATATGAGTATGAACATTATGGTCCAAGGAAAACTACTTTGCAGATTCAGATAAATATCTGTCCCCAATGTTTATAGGCTTTTCTGAAACTATTTAGGTTAGCGTTTTCCAATAGCTAAACCGCCCTCTGATATCATGCCACTATTTCCCCCCTCCAATTACATTTTCAGTCTTCCTATTGGTCTGATACACTTTAGAATTTAGTAGATATATGAACTCCTAGTTTTTGAACAGGATTGAAGCAATGCATGGACCCTTTAACTACACAACAAGAAACGTCAGTCATCAGTGATAATCACAATGATAGAGTTGAATCAAAGAATGATATACTCAACAATAAAATGCAAGGAAGTGACAATCAAGAAACCAATGCAGATATATACAATGATCCCCTTTTACATCCTGAAAACCATGATGGCAATTCCCCCGCTAAGCATGGTTCGCATAATCAAATAGTGAGTGATGACAATTCATCTGCATCACCTGATGTTGGAGTTTCTGACTCTTTTCGTCACTCAAGCTTTGGAAGTAAAGATATTAGTTTTGCTGGTAGAGATCCAGGATCAGTAAATGAGCAATATGGGCCTTTTGGCGCAAACTTTGATGACACAAATGCAATCCATGTACCACATACTTCCAGTTTAACAAATCCAAGTATGGATAAGCAGGAAGGAGTTTCCGATTTAGATGAACCTGTAAACTCACAGTCTGCCTCTACGGTAGAATCTATGGTTGAGAATGTTAACATACAGAATATGGTTGAGGTTCCAGCTGAAGGAGACAATTTAAATTCAGAAGCCCGCGGATCATCAGGAAAAGTATTGGAGGTCACTGTCATGAATCAGTATTCTAAAGAACTAAAAGAAAACATTTATAATGATAACAAAGCAAGCGGATTAAGCTACAACTCTTCAATTTATGAAGAAATATTTCCTTCTGCTGGCATACCTGCTCCTTCTTCTGTGTCTGCAGCTTTGCAAACACTTCCAGGAAAGGTGCTGGTTCCTGCTGTCATTGATCAAATCCATGGTCAGGCACTAGCAGCCTTACAAGTTTTGAAGGTCGTTTTGCTTTCATTTATTTAAACTTGGCAAACCAAAGTTCATTATGCCTGGCTTTCCACAATCATATATATACATGCATCAAAGTTATCACCAGTCTAATTAAAAATCCTAGCTAAGTTGTTAGATATAGTCCTGCAGTAGGAAATTCAAGATCAGGGTGCAATTGTTTGTAACTGTACCTGCTGGTCTGATAGCATTACATTTTTAGGTTATTGAGGATGATGTTCGGCCCAGTGACCTTTGTACTCGCCGTGAATATGCTCGCTGGTTAGTTGCGTCTAGCTGTGCTCTATCAAGGTATATGAATCTTAAAATAGAGCGTCACATTAGTAGTACACATACTGCTTCCTAGGACATGCATAAAATGACTGCATGTCCATCTGAATTGCATACATGCTATCATGATGTATTTGTTTTTAGGTCCACTGTCTCCAAAATCTATCCTGCAATGTATATCGAGAATGTCACTGAGCTTGCCTTTGATGATGTTACAATTGAAGATCCTGACTTTCCCTGCATACAAGGTAGAGCTTAAGATCTGTGATCTTCTGAGAAGTATTTTTTCTGGATTGGTCCAATTTAGTTCCTGATGTTTGTAATGTTTCAGGCTTGGCAGAAGCTGGTCTCATCTCCAGCAAGCTATCAAGACGTGATACACAGTCATCTGCAGATGGAGACCAAAGTCCCCTCTTCTTTTCTCCTGACAGGTGAGCTCATGAAATGCTTCATTATCATGTTAATTACTTTGTTATCAAGTTATAGTTGTCTGTTTGTGTCGAGAGCATATTTGCAGAGGGATCTTTGTTAAATTGCAACTAGATTATACTGTGACTGACCTCAAAGATTGCTTTCATTTCTTAGACGACTTTCACATCTGTATTCATTGTATGCACTCATCTAAATTGTTACTGTTTGTATTATGCTTTCTTAGATTATTTCCATCATTTGAATTGGAGCCAAAGACTCACTATTTTTTGGCTTGGGAATATGATGGAATAAAACAAAATGCCTCACTAAACTGTCTGCTCTTCTTTGTTATCAAGCAATAGTCAGTCCATGTAATTTTCGACGCGATTTTCACTTTGGGTCATCCGGAAACAGTCTCTTTGTGCTTTAGCACAAGGGTATTGCGTACATCTGACTCCCCCTTACCCCACCGGCCACCGTAGGTGGGAGCCTTTGCAGCATTGGGGTAATGATGATGATGATGATGTATTATGCTTTCTAGTGGCCTCGGTTTTAGGCGAATTGACAATTCCATTGCCTCTTATCTAATTCGTAATAGACCTTGATGCAGTCCCTTGTCACGTCAGGATCTTCTAAGTTGGAAGATGGCCCTAGAGAAAAGACTGCTTCCTCTGGTTGATCAAAAGGTAGCATTCACACTGACAAAAATTGTTGCTATCTTTTTCCTAGAAGAAATTTACATGAAATGACTAATAACTTCAAAGTACAAACAATAAAACAATTCATTTTTTTAATTTCCTTTTACTTCATTGGTAGACTTTGAAGCAACTCTCTGGATTCATAGATATTGAGAAGATCCATCCAGATGCATGGCCTGCTGTGGCAGCAGACTTAGCATCAGGGGAACAAGGAATAATAGCTCTTGCATTTGGTGAGACTTATCCTGCTTCAACGATTACATTTTTTCTTTACATGTGAGGTGGTTAAATATCAATAGCCTCTTTGCAGGATATACAAGACTGTTCCAGCCAGATAAACCCGTGACTAAAGCTCAAGCTGCTATTGCGCTTGCAACTGGTGAGGCTCATGACATTGTTGCCGAGGAGCTAGCACGCATTGATGCCGATTATATGGCTGAAGAAGCTGTCACTGCACAGAAAGCTCTAATAGCTGAAGCGGAGAAAGAGGTCAATGCAATTTACGAGAAGGAACTCTCGTTGGAAAGAGAGAAGAATGATGCGGTTCAGAAAATGGCTGAGGATGTAAGACAAGAATTAGAAAGGATACAAGCTGAATGGGAGGAAGAAAATCTTTCCTTACTGAAGGAGCGTGCTGCCATTGATTCAGAAATGGAAGTCTTTTCCCGGTTAAGAAGTGAAGTACAGGAACAGCTTCATACTCTTAAGACTAACAACTTGGAGATCTCCTATGACAAAGAAAGGCTCAAAAAGCTCCGGGAAGACGCTGACCTTGAAAGTCAGGCAATATCAAGGTTGCAATACGAGCTAGAGGTCGAGAGAAAAGCACTGTCAATGGCTAGGTATGTAAGCAACCATATCTTCATAAAATTTAGGGCCTGTTCATTTGTCTTAAAATTTACGGGTGCAGTTTGGTTTGGTCTGGTCTGATTATTTTGTTATTATAGGTGTATGTTTATGGGCTACGTATGGTTATTGCAACCATGATTGTTATTTACGATCTGGTCCTAAATTTACGTATGTTTATGGTCTGGTCCTAAAATTTTCGGGCCTGTTCATTATGTAGTTATTTAGGGCTACATATGGTTATTGCAATACATGTATGTTGTTATAAATTATTGTTGGTCTGGTCTGATTTGTTAGTCCGAACTAAGTCCAAAGTGAAAAAAGCCGTTTTTGTTTCACTGGTTTTTCCAATTGATATGTATATTCAGCCAATTCTTTGACTCAGAGCTTGGGCTGAAGATGAGGCTAAAAGAGCTAGAGACCAAGCTAATGCCCTGAAAGTGGCAAGAGATCGCTGGGAGAAACATGGCATCAAGGTGGTTGTTGATGATGACCTACAGGAAGAAGCAAATACTACACCTGCCATTTGGCCAAGTGCTGGAGAGCAGTTGTCAATAGAAGGAACTGTATCTAGGGCTGAGAATTTGGAGGACAGGCTTAGAGGAATGGCTGATTCAGCTAGGGGAAAATCAAGAGATACAATTCACAGGATAATGGAGAAGATACATTTATATATTTCCATTGCAAGGGAGCTGGCACAAAGAGGATTAAGGGAGGCTGTAATGGTAAAAGACAATGCCACAAAGAAGATCTGCATCTCTTTACACTCTGTGGAGCATAAAGCTGCTGGATTTGGGGAGGGAGTGAAGCGATTCGCTGGAGATTGCAAAGAAGGGGTTGAGAAAATATCTCACAGATTTAAAACTTAAAATCCATCAAATAGCTTATACTCAGACGCCTAAAATGACAGTGATATTTCTTATAGCCAAATAAACTCGGACTAGAATCTAGCAGCTCTACTTTTTTGTATGATTTGCACCTCTGTGATCATATAATGTGGGAACATATATAACAAGTAGGACGGAAAACAGTGAAACGTCTCTAAAAAGACAAACCTCCAGTCCTCCAGGAAAACTAACACATTTCAACCTGTCCTCATTTGTCACTAGCCCCAGCCCCCAGACAGCGCCCAGCTCATATGGGCAGCAATTCTCATAATAATAATTTTATCTATTCAAATGAAAATGGTATGTATAAGTATAATGGTGATGCCTTTATGTGTATAATATTATGCACAATTGTTACCACACAGCGGCAGCATATTAGCATATAAGGACACACACACACAGTTCGAATTCTAAATAAGAGTATCTTTTATGTCTATCTTCCAATTTTGGTTCGAATTCTAATACGTAGTACCCAGTACTTCGTACTCCCTCCGTCCCAATTTGATGATCCCATTTCTTTTGGGTTCAAAGATAAGGAAGTGGTTGAAAAGGTAAAAGTTGTGGTTGTGATTTGAGTAGAAAAAGGTGAAATGATGTGGACCACATATTTCTTTCCAAAAAGGGAAATGAGACTATCAATTTGGGACTAGGGGTGGACTCGGGCCGGGCGGCCCGGCCCGGCCCGGGGCCCGGTGGGTCCACCGGTTCGGTTCGGCCCGGCTCGGCTGCTGGGCGGTCCGGGCTCGGGCCCAGTTTTTGGTGAACCGGCCCGGCCGGTTCGGGCCCGGTTCGGGCCGGTTTTTAATTTTTTTTTTTGAATTTTTTTTAAGTTTTGGGTTGGATTAGGTATTTTGGGCCATTTGAGGTGGTTTGGGGTGGTTTGGGGTTGAGGGGGAGGGGTTGGGGTTAAATAGAAGAGCCAAAAAAAAAAATAGAACCGGTTAGGCCCGGCCCGGCCCGGTTTGGCCCGGAACCGGGACCGGAACCGCCCACCGGCGGTTCGGGCTCGGGCCCAACTTTCCTGGCCCGAGGCCCGGCTGGGCCCAGGCCCGAACCGGGCCTGAACCGGGGCGAGTCCACCCCTATTTGGGACGGCCCAAAAAGGAAATACGGGATCATCAAATTGGGACGGATGGAGTATTACTTTGACACATTTGTTGTGCTTAGAATTACCCAAAACCTCAACTTTTATTCAACGACACATCACACAATATGCAAATTTTCCTAAAGAAACACGAGGATAGCCTGTTTGGTGGAAACAAAGAACATAGTGAGATATTTTGTACGCTCTTTGCATTGAAAAGAAGTATAGTAGCACTCGGCTGCACTCCGACCAACACCCCAAATTCCCAATATACAAGCCTGATTAACGACCAGTCAACAATAATTAGCCTGATTAAAGTAAAAAACTAAACATTCATCATAATAATTCACTAGTGATAGAAGTAATAAACATATAAACGCACAACATTCCAAAAAAGAAAAGCCTGTTTGGTAAAACCCAAATCGGCTATATTGACTGGTTTTGTTGAAATTTATGAAGTTCTGGCTGAAAAGACTGGATTGGCTTATTCTGTTGATTTTTGAAAAATTACATTTAAAGCCCGTTTGGTGACCCTGTTTTTTGGCTTATCGGCCAACTTTTTCGTTAAACACGTAGTTTTTGAATACGCGCGCTGAAATCTGTAATAATAAGAAAAAGTAAGGTTGGAGTTACCTTTCTGGCTTTGTTGGTTGAAGTTACCGTAGAAGATCATTTTAGCTGTTTTTTTATATAATTTATTCTTTATTTTATAATAAAATATATTTTAAATATATATATTTTTTAAATCAGCAGAATCAGACAATACATCTTTCATTTGTTCAGTTTTCAGTACATACTTTTCACTAATTCGTTATTCCTCATTTCGATTTTTGGATAGTGACTTGGTTTAGTGTCAATTCAATTGTACTAAATATTTGACTTTTTAAATAACTGGATAATCAGACTGGGCTATTAACCTTTATACCCCCTGGGATAATTGCTTGGATTCTTTAGAAGGGGCTAGTATGCTGTATGCTGCTATTACCCTGCTTTCAAGATCATTCAACTCATTAAAACATGACAATATGACATGTTCACTTGGAGTTATGTTCTTAACCATTCTAACCTGGCTAAATTTAGCGTCAGCTATTGCAGGGGCATACGTTCCAAGTTATTTTCAACGGGGTCATAAACCTATCATGGTAACCTGGAATAACATATGCGCGAATTGCAGCTTAATATGCATGCTTCTAATCTGGTAGGGATTCCAATTTGAGGAACTCTCATGGTAGTCTTGTTTTTTGTGTTCACTAGTCTATAGACTATATATACAGCATTCTCTGGTCCATAGTAGCAGGATATACTACCTTATAAGTTGACACAGATTCGCTCCCAGCGTCACTCCATCTTACCGAGCCTCATAAATCTCTCGAGGGACGAAGAGGGTAGACAAACAACGAAGGAGCCAATTGGAGTGATGAGAGGATGGGAAACAAAAGGGAGTGGTGACTGAAACATTTTGATTGTTGTCTAGGGATCACTTAACAATTTTTCATTTGTAATGAAACTTATTTGTTCTTCAGGCTCTCATAAATTATTATTTGGTTGTACATTGATGAAAAATATAATGATGTGTACTATAATGTGTTCTATTTGTTGAAAAGAACCGAACATGACTAGCTACCCGGACTATCAGTTTCTTCTATGCCGTTTGTTTTTCATTCTGGAAGTTTGGCAAATTTTTATACATATGTATCTTCAAAGTTGAAACCAGGTCCTCTATGAAGACATGCTTGCATTTCCAAGTACTCTTGGGGAGTCATGGACTCATGGTTTCCTTAGAAGTTTTGCACCCTTATTTTTTATGTGCAGAACTTGGGGTTAAAGGGTGCACCTCTTAAAACTTTTTTTGTGATCTCTCTGTTGTTAGTTGTTGATTCTTCAATGATGATAAATTAATTTCTATTTTTCATTTTGAAAATGATATTCCTTTTTAGCTTCCCGATGTCGATCTTGTTAACCTTGTGCATTTGGAACAACTTTCATGTAACAGATACGGTATCAAGTAATCCTCATCCCTAACCATCACAAAATGAAAAAAAGACAATTAAAAGGGTAAAATAAGGGACACGTTATTCTTCTGTTTATGAAAAATCTTCAAGCTATCATTCTCATAGGTTGAAATAACTTCCAGCCTTTTTAATGGTTAGAGTTTGTTTTCCTTGGTTCTAATTAATTAGAGTCATGCGCTGGTATAAAAGTTTAACACCTATATTGGGTATCTTAGCACCTTTTTAGTACTTTAACTAACAGTAAAACCTTGAATAACTGGACTTTGATTTGCTTGAAAGTTGAAGACTACAAAAACAATTAAGATGAGACAAGCTGCCAAAAGCATCAAAAGCCCACACTTTTTATTAATCGGTGAATGTAAAAGCTCAGAACAGAAGGATAGAAACATTTCCAACCAAGTAAAGGCATGAAATGGTCAGCAACTACACGCCAAGTGTTGTCCACTGATGCTTGGGTGTGCACTGCTTTTACCTCGCCAAGCACGTCATTTTAGAAAGAAATGGGGACTATCCCTGTAGCAGCAGTTGCGTTCTGAGCAGCCTCATCAGCCAAATGCAAAACATTATTCTTCATAACCTCCTTCTTGATTCCCTCTGCATCCATCACAGAACCAAACACTTCAAATTGCAGCCTACTTGCAACATTGATCACCTTTGTAAAATTCTCAGGAAGATGAAGCCCATATGACATTAAGTACCCAATCTTAGCTGTTTCAGCATAGCGAGACTTGGCATAGGCGATATTAAAATATTTATCTTGCACTTGATATAGCTCCTTAGCTGTTTTAGTCACAAGGCTAGGCGTTATGGTCTTTGAAAAATCAATCATGTAAGCGATAGTGGCAAACATGAAAACAGTTGAGATTGTCTTGTGAACACACTTGGGAATCAAAGAAGCAAATGCAAAATGTTGCATAGCAGAAGGGAGTTCTTGCACGTTCAGAGAAGATTGATTCACTTTCCTGGTTATGCCAGGTGACTTGTGTAGCAACATGCTAGCAAGATTAGGAAATAATGAAATTGTTCTTGCAAAAGTTAACCCACGACCATCAATCCTAGAATATGCATTTGCAGCTCTGATGCGAATCTTATACCTTGCTGAAAGTTCCTTAATTCTTCCTTCTGTAGCTCTAATGTTTCCATTAGTCAAACCAATCACAATCATATAAACTAAATCTTCACAAAACTGAGCCTTTGATCTTTTAGCAGCAGCAGCATTACGTATGATACCATCAATGAGAGCTTTTGCATCAAAACCATTAGAATCAAACTTAGTCACACTTAGAGGACCAAGAGTTTCATTCAGAGTTGTGATGGAATCGATGCTCATGAATGCATTCCAGAAAGAATCAAAACTTTCAAAGCATTTGTCATCCATTTCTGCACTAGAACTTTGTTGCGTTTCTTTGAACGAATATGTGCTTTCTTTCTTGTTGGACGTAGTTCACTAAAAGTATCAAAACTTGATTTCTTAGAAGATGATCAAGTAAAGACCATAAAACATAAAAGAAATACACAAGCCTTGTCGATTTGTGAGTAAAGTTTAATGCAAAGAAAGTTTAAAAAGATTTCTGTGTCCAGTTTTTAATATTGAAAAGATTTAAATAGTTAAAAATTTACTTAACGCAATGAGTTGCATGTCACAAACGAACTTTCATAATGCACTATTTTCAGTTCTTCACAAGTAACACTGTTTAGATCAAAATATTGTTTTTGAGCTTCAAAGCATTAAGTCTCACATACCCCGTTCCATGAGCCTGTATTACACAAGATTTTGTTAGAAGAGAACAATCATTACTTCTGACATTTGTGTGAAATTCACATTACTTAAATATTATTTGTGAACTAGTTTATGTCCAAGAGATGCTTCCATGATTTCAAAAAAATAAATTGAGAAGCATCTATAACAGTGTACAATCTATGATCACTTTTGAAAACGGGTAATGCTAAAGATTTTGCAAACCAAAGTAACTTTATTCTCATTATCGGTGTGAGTCAAACACACTCAGTTACCTCCCCTTCCTATCCATTTCAAGTGAAGTTCAATTTCCCTATTCAAGTTTTCAGGATCTTTGGGCCATGTTTCATGATCTCTGTATCAAGCTTTGAACATATTTCCATACCATCCAGTATGAAGAGGGTGTAAAAGTACATAATAACAAATCTAGCAACCTATGTTTAGAAATCCAAGGGTCTTTGTTTAGAAATTAACAAAGATGAGGAAAAGCATGAATCATTTAGGAAATGTTAACACTCTAAACTTTTCAAAAATCAAGGAATAACTATCTATTAGAAAGCATTTCATAGATCAGGTTAGAAATTAGAAGCTCCAAAACCATCTTCAATAAGTTCTCAACTTTTTCAGTTTCCTATTTTCTTTATTTCTGTCAGCTAAATGATATATAGAGCACATTTCTACTCTCTTACAGTCTTACTTGTTGACCACAAGAGCTTGAGTGATTCTTAGCAGGCCCAGCCCTTACCTATTAGGGACCCTGTTCAAAATTAAATTGGGGACCCTAATAAACAAAACGTACTTCGAAATATTTACTAACAATATATTGATACTGAAATATTTCTTTTTTTCTCTTTTTACATCCAAATTGATACGTAGTATTGTCTAAATCTAAAGTAAAATGGAGAAGATAACAAATAATACTCCGTATAATATAATGACATAGAGAAAAGATCACCGAAGCAACCTGAGAAATGAGAAGTCCCCCTATAATCTCGACTAGAAGCCTGGTGTAACTAAATGGCTTAAGCCCTGAAGTAAGAAATATATAATAAAATTTTCGTTCAAGTAGTTGGATAAACTCGACTCCTCGATCCTCGGAAGAAATTGAATCTTTATGAAACTCGGTCGGGTCAACTCGCACGGCCTCCTCGTTCCTAGAAAACAATCGTTTCGTATTCTGACTTCTCGTTTGCCGAAGGTTGGACACAGGTTCCGACTTCCGATCAAATTCGTAGTAACCAACGGACAAATACGGAGTATATTTATGGAGTATCTTCTCATGGATATCTCCCTCCATACTCATATTCTCACTTTCCTTTTTTTTTAACCGTAATATTCATATGTTCCAATAATTCTATTTCATTACCTTCCCGTCACACCCTCAATAATTCTACATTCTTTCACTATTTTTAATATCACCTACTTTGAAATAGGAAGATATATCTTTTATAGAGGTAGTAACAAAATTTGGATGCTCTGTTATGAATAGGGGACCTGTGCAATGGCACCTAGGCATGTCAAAAAAACCCGTCCCGCAATGACCCAACCTAGCCCGAGACATTTGTGGCGGGTCCGCCCCACCCCGTCTTACAAATGGGATTATGGGGTGGGTCTGCTCCGCCCCGCCCATACAATGGGACGGGTCCGGGTATTACTGTATTAGTATTGACCTGTGCCGCCCCACCCCGCTCAATATTTAAGTATACATACTTTTTTTTTTAAAAATTATATTACAAATATACTTCCACATACATGTGTGTGTATACAATAAATCATAAATTCGTTGGTCTTATAAAATATTAATGTTTAAATTTGAATGAGATGAACGATAGATTATCAATGTCTTTTATATATATAACATTTTAAGTAATATAAGTAGATTAAATATTTCAGTCTAAGTAATATTTTTAAAATTTTGAAAGTTTTAGTGTATTGCGACTTTGATTATATATATATAATAATTATTTAGATAAACTTTCTATAGATTCAAGTGGTAACAACTTCAGAAAAATAGAAATGCATACTAGCTAATTCAGTTACGACGGGGCGGGGCGGACCACCCAGTGAAGTCACGGGGCGGGTCCGGGTCTTGTAGTACCCGCCCCGACCCGATCCATTGTCATGCCTAATGGCACCACTTGAACCTCGTCTGGGCCGGGCCTAAGAATTTCTTAGATCAGCCTATAAGGCTAACCGCAACCCAATTCCGTCAACAAATCAATTTTCCTACCACTTTATACGTATTCACTCAGTCAATTCAATTTTCATTGCAATCTAGCACCGTCAATATATTCAATCATCAAATTTACTCATTTTTTTGACAGAAAAATTATTCTTAATTAAAACTTTGCTTTTATATCATTTTTTTCCTCAATATCTTTTTGCGAATAATTATTGATTTTTAAAGTCCACCACCATTTCAATGTAAAAATAAATAATTTTGGATTTATTTACTTTCTTAGTTTTTACCTATTTCTGAAAAAATAATAATTGAAATGTGTCAAAAAATATTTTTTCTTCATTTTAGCATTTCGATGTACTTAACAAAAACTTTGAACATAAATATCTCCAACTGATGAAAAATACATATTTTTATTTTTTAAACTTTATATATACAATATTGGTATCATATGAAAGGTCATAAAAAATTAAAAATTCTGAATACGAGTACATTTTTTTTTTTATAAAAAATGGATTACAAGTAAAAAAGTTATAATGTACTCCTTATTACATAAATTTGGGATTATTTAATTTTCAATTTTCTTAGCCCCTCTCATTTGTGAAACTAGAATTTCACCCGTGCGATGCACGGAATAAAAAACAAAAAAATGTTATCCTCATTTTGAGAGGATATTATATATACATTGTTAGGAACATGCAATTTTTAAAAGTAATGAGCTAAAGAACAGATAATAAGTAAATTAGGCCAATAGTAAACAGAGTAAAATGTTATGGAAACATATTATTTGTGATATAAAGTAACAAACAAAATAAATGTCGCGGGTGATCCTTAAAACATCTAGTGAAAGGGTGGTGTCTTTCACGAAGCTTAAGATGATTATAAGTTTATTATAACTTTTTTAAGTAAGAAAATTTTGGCACTGTAGCAGCACTGTTTATTTTACTGAAGTGTATTATAGCTGCTCTTGGGGTGGATTTCTTTAAAAAAAAAACGAAAGTGTGATACATATTTCGGTACGGCCAAAAAAGGAATATGTGGTACATATTATGATACGTAGAGAGTACATAGCATGCTCTAATAATATTGAATTCTTAAAAATTCACAGCGGTTGTTGAAGCTACCATAATGCTCGGGGGCATGACATTACTATTAATTAATTATTTTTTCAGCCCAATAACAGAACATCAGGATGCAAAAAAAAAAATCTAAAATAAATAAATATACTTCGAATGTTAATATTCAATCACCCATATCTATATCAATATGTACAATATATATCTAGAAACATGTACTTCTACACATATAGTACTTTATTATAAATAAAAATACATTACAATATAAATTTTGTTTATAATATACTCCATATATATATATATAATATTTACTATAAATTAAAAATATAAACTCTATACGCATAGGACCAGTTAGAAATGTGCCTTGTTTGAGGATTTACTACAAACTATGAATTTCATGCATCTTTTATTGAAATGTGTACTTGGTATACATCAAGTATCAAGTATAAAGTATAAACTATGGTGTTCTCTTCTAATATTCCTTTGTATTATGATCAGTGATTTTCGTAAACGTATATCAAGGCCATAAACCTTGGGTAAATAAAAGTATACTCCATAAAGGTGTGATTAAATAGGCCAAGGCAAAATGTGCTTAACTGTATAAAGTCTTAAATATAAACATACATTCATGTGACAGTTGTAAAAGTTTAATTTTATTAGTCTTTGTAAAGAAAGTAAAATGATTATTTAAAGCAGTTAGCATGATTTACTTATCTCCAGGGTTGTTTTTGACCAAATTAATTATAAGTTACAGTCCTATAACTTTTTAACCAACATCTCCTGGCATCATATTTCTAAGAAACATATCATCAAACTACCCCTTTCTGGTATAGGACATGCGTTTCAAAACATTATGATGACAATCCCTTTCAATTAATGTATGGACTATATAGTTATATACTTTTATACCAGGGAAAGTTCCCGAAATGGGACTAAAATAGTTTGAAAATTCCAAAATAGGACTGTCATGTTTTTATTCTCAACATAGGAGTAATTACTGTCAAGTTTGGAAAATAATGTCATGTTTTAAGTTTGGTACTGCCAAAACATGACAGTAATTAGTCCTATTTTGGGAATAAAAACATGACAGTCCCATGTTTGGAATTTTCAAACCTACTTAGTCTCATTTCGGGTAATATCTCTTTATACCAAAGCAAACTATATGTGCTTGTGGGTGTGTGGGGTGAGGGGGGAAGGGGTGACTATACTAACTTATATCTATGGGGTGACTTGTTTTCTCCTCCTGAGCTTTTATATCATATGTCTTGAGCTGAAATTTTCAAAGGCCTCTAAAAGTGCCTCTACCAATTCTGTTTTTTTAGTACATCCAAACTATCATATCTTGATATGACAATGATGCACAGAAAATGGTTAATCTAATTATCCGACATTGAGAACTTCTCCTCGCTTTCATAGTCATGGTTTCCAGAAATGCCATCCTCTTCAAGGGTCTTCCTGGCTGCACCAACCTGGGACAAATAATATCTTTTACAATTACATTTTTGAAATGTTCCATTTGGTCTTTCAGAACATCATATTCATTTCAGAACTGATACAGCTCCTCCAAGTTTGACAGATCAGTCCCCTAGAAATACTGCTTCCCCTGGTAAAAGCTTTAGGAGTAGACTATTTTTTTAGAGGAGTACAATATTAAAAACCAATGTTGTCAATATTGATACTTTTACTACGTATGATAGTTATACTCGTACTTACCCTATTAAAAGTTATAGGCGTACAATATTAAAATCAATGTTGACATATACAATTCTGTTTTTTTTTTAAATGATAATATTTTCCCAACCTTCCCTTGACGCCCAGATAGTCATCTCCCTAACCGATGTCGCTGCTCTGTATCAACTTCCATTGATGACCAGATCACTCTATGTGTCTATGAGTTTCCCTTATGGCTGCCACAAAGTTCCATTATCATCCCTAACCACAATGCCCAGTCTGCAGATGCCTTCATGAGAGAGTGGCATCAACATTAATTAAAAATAATAACAATAAACATAATTATTATAACTTATTCATTGAATGCTTGGAATATATCTTCAAGTCAGAAACTACACATGCTTTCACAAAGTGAAGCATTATCTAATCCAGCTACTCTTCTACTCTATTTACAAAGTAAATAGTATTCTGCTTTAGCTTAGTAGTTCACAAATATCTGGTTCCCTTTGCTATTCCTATGTTTGTTCAGCTCTTTAATGTATTAGTAATCTCCTTATGGCTTTATGTTCATATGATCTAGATCCCCTGAACATAATGCCTGCAAAAACACTATTTCTAAAAGAGAAATTATTATGAAGCCATGACTCAGCCAACTTTAGTACCAAAAGTAAAATAATTTTATTTTACCCCAAATTTAATACCTTTGACTAACAGAAAAGGATACCATAAACAATACTTTATAAGTCTATATACGTTTTTGCTTGCAAATCCTGCCAAAATATATACCTAAAGAATACACAGTCACACATTGACACACACACGAAAACAAACAATACAAATATCATACACCCGAAAGCAAGAGCTTCCATAACATAGACAACAATATTCAAAAAATGACCACATAGCTTTCAAAAGTAGAAGACAATGAATATGAAACAAACACAGTAGAACAAATCTAATTGTTTGATAACTCACATAGTGGTGTAAATCCAGTTTTAACAAAAAACCAATAAAATGTTGATCTTCTTCCTGAATGGTTTATTATGAAAGCACTACTCCATCTCCTCCCCATCTCTATTAGAGAAAACTCATGCACCAAGTTTATCTTCATTGGGTCATCGAGATTTATAACAACTTTTTTTTAAATGATTTCACATTTGAATGATATTAGTTTTTAAAACAGACCTTACATTCGATTTTAATTACGTATATCTTAAGAAAACTTTTTATTACTGCCATAAATGAATTTGAGGTTTACCTGTTGATATTGGAAGACCAGTTCAAGTGATCAAGTATTTATTCTCCCTTAATGTGTGCTGGAACCTCGTATTTATTCGGAAAACTCTTAAGTCATGTTGCCCATCATCAAACCTGAGATACATTTTAGCTCAAGCTTCTCAATCTAAAATGAGTAAGTGAGAGAAGTAGGGACCCATCTTCTGGGTGTTGGGGTGAGTAGTTTTTAAACAATTAACAGCATTATATAAGCTCCTCATAGACATTATTACAAACACATAGCTATCAAACTAAACATGAGTGTGAGAATGAGATTAACCTTTACATTATAAGGATGTCTTTTGTAATACAGAGTATATATTAAAAAAAATAGCTATACGGTTATACCTGGTCCAAAAATAATCTTGTTGTAAGATGACACTGTACCCAAAGCCCCAAACCTGAAGTGGCAGAGCCAGAGCCTAGAGACAGAGGCCGCCAGTCCTCTACTAACCTCACCGGCCCCCTCCTCCTCCTGTGTCGTCAACGTCTTGCCGGGACAAAGGCTGACCAGGGGTGTGTGGCCCTCCATTGATGTCGCTGCAGTGGATGCCGCAGTTCTAGCAGTTGATTGCTCGATGCTTTGTCTCATCCACGCTAACTCGCCGTCTAGAACCCAGAAACGCAGCTGAAGTTCTTGCCCGTCGTGAGGTCCTGTGAGTTGGATTGCTCTGTGATTGTAGAAGAAATCAGACACATCTACAGGGTGGAATGGCATGGGCCACTGTCATGCCTCTATTTTCTACCAATAAGAATCACGCTAGGCAAAAACAATAGGCAATTGAAACTACACAATTTGAGCAAACAGTGTTGACCGCCTGTTTAGACCAATAGGATGACTCGGGAAAATGAAGCAATACAACGCAATAACGCAATAAGCCTAGCCTAAGAAGCAACAAACAGACAGCGATAGATTTCAGCGGGAACACTGTTCCATGAAATTCTTTTGTTTTTAGATTAAGGTAGATGTCATGAGCCGATGAGCGCAAAAGGTATGCCCCGGTTGGTTGTCTTTTCTCTCCGTGAATGAGGCGTACAAAGCCCCCCCCTCCCCCCTCCCCCCTCCACCGGTACTAACAAATACATGAGTTGCCGTATATTTGAGACTCAATAACTTAAAATTGGTTTTCCACCCATAGGGTTGCATGCAACATAAATGAAAACGAAAGTAAGGGTTGTTTGGTAACACTTGCAATTAATTGGAATGACTTGAATGGCTGAAAAAGTCTGAAAAGATTGAATTAACTAAAGTGAACGTGTTTGGGAATATATTTTCCGAAATAGTTGATTGAGTGTAAAATTACTATAAAGGGTATTAGCTTATTTGTGTTAAATATATGGGTGTGAATTTTACTAGTAAACTACTTTTTCTTGATTAGGTAATTAAAAGACTATTAAATAATTGATTACTTTCGAAATATCATTATTATTCTTACATCGAATTTTTTATTGGTTTATACAACTACTTTCCAAAAAATTGCGTATTTTTGAATGAGCGACATTAGTATTATATTTTGTGACTAACATGAGTATATTAATTTAATAAATATATTTTTAAAGTATATTAACAAATGGACATAAACAATTATTTAAAAAAAATGGACATGCACAACGTTGTGTTTTAGAATCGAGCTCCAAGAAAAAACTTCAAATAGAACATAAATTAAAAGGAAGCCTCCATTGAAACAGTAGAAAAAATTCAATTCCACCGTCTAATGCTTCTTGGTGACCAGACCAGTCATGCAAAAAACAGTAGCGAATGCATTTCGCGTAAAATAAAAGAGTTTTTTTCCGTATTAATGTTAATTAATTAATTATTTACGGAAATAATGCTGGAAAAAAAGTATTTACCAAAATACTGCTGGCCCTAAGCGTGGTCAGGGCAAAGTCGCCCAACGGTTGGGCGACTTATAAGTCGCCAAACCGTTTGGCGACTTATAAGTCGCCCAACCGTTGGGCGACTTTTCCCTGAAATATGTTAACAACCGAGCAGCTACTGCCAGCCAGGCACGATCGTGCCTAGAAAGTTAGGCACGATCGTGCCTATGTCCAAAAACAGCATTTCATCAGGTTTTTCGCCCCGGTTCAACCCAGACTCATCTGTTTGCTATAAATAAGGTCTCCCTTCTCCTGTTAAAGTATTACGAACTAGATACAACACATTATAATCACCTACTCTCAACAGCATAAAAAACACCTTATACACACCGCTAAAAAACTTTCAAATCATAACCGATATAACACAGTTCAATCATCATATATGCCATAACAAATAATCATATAATATTCATACTCGAACACATCAATACAACATAGAATACTTAACAAGAGAAAATACATCAAAACTTGTAAATTGTTCCTACAACATCTACTGCATAAGAAAAACTACAATACAAAAGACAAACTACAAGTTCCCATCATCAGCTTCGTCATGGAGATGTTGCTGCTCATGTCTACGCCTACGGCGTTGTCGTGGTTGAAGAACCACTCTCTCATGTTGCGTCTGGGATGATGAAGCCGCAGCTGCACTAGACGTGGATGCCATCTCCTGAGATGCGGGCATGTGTATAAGATGTCCGTAGTCTACTCGACCCAACACATCTGAGCATAACGAGGCAATGCCTGTCAGAGTCTGTCCATACATGTCCACATCAGGAATATCAGTCACAGTGGCAGTAGCCCGCTGATGTATGCGCTGCAAAGCTCGTGTCTGCAATACGAAACACAATTACAATTACATTGAAATACATACAAGTATTACATAAATAAAATGACTTACTTTACTAATTAGTAATATACTCACTGTAAGATGCAATGCCAATGAGCTAGGCTGATAATGATGAGTAGGGAGTCTGAACGAAGGAGACACAAACAACCGAGTGATGCTGTAGTACCATCCCATGTAATCTCCTGAAACTGATGGCACATATGTGGGTGTCCCAGCCACAGCTAGCTCAGCTCTCCTATCCCACATAGTCACGTATCGGACATGTCTGAGTGCCCAATCCTCTGTATGCTTCCCACGCCTATCCAGCCTATGCAGCTCTACATAAGTGTCGATACGACGTGGAATGACCTGCTCAAACCCAAACTGTCGCATGACTCTATCAGGCAAATGAAGCTCAACAATGTCAAAACATATCAGCGGCACACGTGCTCGCCATATGTGAGTCTGCTCTCGGCCAGCTGGGGGTAACTCTGCTAACATATCAGGTCTATACGGCATCCATGTGATCTGTTTCGTAAACATACAAAATTAGTATTTATTCTACACCTATTCTAGTTACTGTTATACTACACACACCATACCTGGTCCTCTGACATCCGATCCAATGCATCCCTGTACACACCGAGGCCAGTAGCGGATGACATGCGAGATAAACCAGCATATAGCCACCTAACCATTAATGTTACAATATCAATAATATGGATTTTATTAATGCATTTACATTCAACAAAAAGTAACACAAATACAAATGATTTAAAACATACCGACGGCCTAGAGGGTCCACGCCCCGTACATGATGTGGTCCTAGCAGATGTGGAGGCTCATCAGGCAGTGGCTGTCCATCAATGCCATGATATCCAACTATAATGGGACGGCCAATGTGGATATACTCCCATGACCAAATCTGGAGGAGTAGCAAAAATCCACCCAGCTCTGTGCTCCCTCTCTGGCACCCGCGACACAGCTGCCTGTAGAGATAAGCCAGGGTGGCACTACCCCAGCTAAACTGTGCTGCTACATCAAACCTCTCAAGCAAAGGCAAGTGTAGCACCTGAACCTCATTTCCGCTCTTGTCAGCGAAAATGGAGGCTCCCATCATCATCAATATATACGCCCGAGCATGCTGCTGGATGATCATCTCATCAGCGTAGGGAGGAAGGGCCTGGAAATGCTCCCTCAACCATGGCATCCTAAGAGATGACCCCTGAAGGTCAGCCCTAAGAACGGGGCGGATGCCTAACAACCTCTCACACTCATCCACCCACTGTCGACAAGCAGTGCCTGTAACAGCTCTCCCATCAACCTCTAACCCGGTAAGTACAGCCACATCTCCCAATGTCACAGTGACCTCACCAACAGGGAGGTGAAATGAATGTGTCTCCTGCCTCCAACGCTCAAGTAGAGCAGTGAGGAGGGCTCTATCTAAAGGCACAGTAGCCACTAACCTGTGCAGTGTAAAAAAACCTGCTGCACGAACATAGGCTAGGACTCTGGGGTCGACATGTAAATGGGACAAACCACGCAGATGCTCGCGGCACCTATCAACCTGCACATCCATGCCAAGCCAAACATCCTCACTCCTGTGTGAGGCCTGCAGTGTCAGGACAGAAGGATCACTCGGCCCAGGATCCGCTATCACCTCCATACCTACAAACAAAATTTGTATCAGTTCTAATTGTATTAGTTGTAATTGTATAATGTATTAAATTTTTTTTAACTTCCTTTTTTGAATTTATTAATTTTCCTTGCAAGGAAATAATGAATTATGATTGACTCTAAATATACACATAACCGGCGGACCCCCCCTCTTGTCTAGATGATCTCTTTGCACATGTCGCTCTATTATGGCCGGTTTGGTGGCATCTTCCACATCTTACCGTTCCTCGTGGACCTTCATCCATCTCATTCTTAATACGGGTCGACTTTGGTCTTCCCTTTGCCCGAAGCATGGATGGATCGTGCACGATTTCGGGTCCATTGTAATTGGGCCAATAATCACGATCAGGAATCGGTTTGAACACCCTATGATACGTGGCGGCGTATTGGTCAGAAGAGAAGAACTTATCCACAAATGGAGCATAAGACAAACTACGTTGTCTACACACGGCTAATACATGGGAGCAAGGAATCTTGTATATCTCCATCTTTTTGCAAGTGCACGTTTTCCGTTGTAGATGGACAGTTTGTTTTCTCCCACCCTTTCCCAACGTTCGGCCACCACAACCGGTCTCCACCTGAAATATACCTCGCCCTAAATCAAATGGAGTGACAATGTGATGCTTTGCCTTCTCTCTATTTTTTTCAATTAAATCTGTGATGTATGGGGAGTACTCGTGGCCTTGTGTGAGCCTCAACTTACTACTTTCACGCCTATTCACAAAGTACGCATTAACCCGGTAAAAAGACACCTGGACCAAGGCGGTAATGGGCAAATATCTAGCATTTTTCATGACGCTATTGAAAACCTCAGCCAGATTTGAAGTGATGGTACCGTATCTGTACCCGCCATCATGGTGCAGCGACCACATTTCTGGAGGAATGTTGGCCAAAAATTGTCGTGCATCCCTACTCATTTCACCTATCTTCTTGAACCCACCATCAATTTTTTTTTTTCTGATGTTGTCGTGCGGTCCACACAAATAGATTTTTTAAATGAATGTCTTTGAAATGAGTGTGCACATTTGAAGCAAGATGACGGATGCATAGCCTATGATGCGCATAAGGCTCCTCCCAATTACTTCCCACCTCATTCATTGCCCTAACAATACCTCCATGTCTATCTGAAATGACACACAACTCCCTGTTAGTCACAAAATGCCTAATACATGCCATAAACCATGGCCAACTGTCTCCATTCTCCGATTCAACAACTGCAAAGGCGACTGGGAAAATTTGGTTGTTCGCATCACAACCCATGGCCACGAGCAATGTGCCCTTGTACTTTCCATACATGTGTGTGCCATCAATAGTAAGTACGGGTCGACAATGCTTAAAACCAGATATTGATGCCTTGAATGCCCAAAAAACTCTTTGAAACATCATATAACCTGTCGCACCATTGGGGGGTGGGTACCACTGAACAACAGTTCCTGGATTAGAATGTTGGAGCGCTGTCATGAAACGGGGCAACTCGAAATATGACTTTTCCCAACTGCCAAATATTTGTGCTATGGCCTTTTGCTTCCCCATCCATGTTCTCCGGTAAGATACAGTATACCCATATTTTTCCTTCAACATCTCGATGATAGTATGCACTTTAAGAGAAGGATCAGTGCGAATAATGTCAACCACATCTTTACAGATGAATTCTGATGTCAAGGCCACGTG